AGATCTGAGGGGTAATAATAAGAGCTTCCAACATCAGAGGAGCTTATCACATACAAAGATCTTTCAGTTTGTTGAAGAATCTCTGTATGATCTGGAGAAATCTTTTTGCCTCAACTCACTGGACCTCGAAGTCAGGTTCTTCTCTTGGCTGGCTTGCCAAATCACACAGTACACATTAGTGCTAAAATTGCCTGAACTATGCACCCAGGCTGGAATTTATTAAACATTTTTTATGGTAATGCATTAGGCCTGTGTTCCCTCTGTTTTTTCTTTCCTCATTCAGTATATTTGGATTCCCCCGGTCTATTTAAGGGCAGCAAGGTGTGCATGTTCCAGGACATTCTTAATGTGGCTGTAGCCTGCATCGAGTCCTTCCCCAAGCGCAGGAGCATTTGTGTTTGCTGGTTCTTGGAACTTTGCCCTAGCTCACCCAATGTCCCTACAGATAGGCCTTTTCGCTTGCCGGTAGTCCTTAAGATAGCCTGATGTTGCCCCAATTCTGGAAGGAGAGCAGTCAATTAGGGGTATATATACGTGGCAATAATAAGAACCCCCAACATCAGAGCTGATCACATACAAAGATATTTCAATTTGAGGAAGAATTTCTGCACGATCTGGAGAAATCTTTTCTCCTCTTAACTCATGGACTCTGCTTCAGTCTGCTGAATGAATTGCACACGAAACTGCAACATATTTAACACTACAGAAGGTGGATAAGCATAAAAATGACCCTTATTCCTTGGGAAGTACCTTCCTACCCCCCTTCACACTTATGGCTGGCCTAAATTGCTGTGTTTATAGCAGAAAACTTTAACCAATGACCCCCCCCCCCAAAAAAACAAAATTGGAAATTGGATTGGCAAGACTGGGAATATATTAGTATGTTAATTATATTGTAAACTGTATTAATATAATTATTTCTGGTATATTTAGGATTTACAAAACCCAACAGATCAGCGATTAACCGATTAATGCCATTACTTTAACACAAATGCAAATATCGATTTGTGCAGCAGTTGACATAGCTTTGTTGTTTGCACAGAGCTATCCAGCTATAAAGCTACAAAATACTATGTATTAAAATGCCTAAAAATAGTGTTTATATCTTCTCCTATTACACTTAAAGTTTATTAAAGTGCTGTTGCAAATGTTTTATATTCTGACAATATTTACAACTTATTTGAAATAAAAATGTATGCAGCTGACAGTCAAATAGAATTAACCTATTCCTCCCTTAGTCTCCTCATCCACAATGCCCAACTTAAAAAAAAAAGTAGTACCATGGTCAAACAACTGCTTGGATGAAAAAAAACAAAAAACAAAAAAAACAATACCTACTGTGATACATGGAGGAGGCTCAGTAATGTTTTGGGGGCAGCCTTGACGTGTATGGCACAGAGTGCCTTGAATGATGAAGTCTCAAGACTATCAAGGAATTCTGGAATGAAACATACTGCCCAGTGTCAGAAAGTTCTGTCTCAGTCAAAAAGTCCTATATTCTCCTACAGAATAATGACCCAAAAGCACAAACCTGAAAGCACCCCAAAATGGCTGGAGAACAAAACACAGGACTATTCTGAAGTTGCTTTCTTTGTGCTCTGATCTGGATCCTATTGAATATCTATGGAAAGAGCTGAAACATGAAGCCTGGAAAAGGCATCCTTCGAAGCTTAAGAAGAGTAAAATCAATCTATCTGCTGGCAGACCCTGAAGTCTCACTGAGCGATAGACTTGTTTGCAGGGATTGCCTTTAAAAGTTGTGAAAACAAAAAAATTTTAGGTTGAAGAACCTGTCATTTTTGTCCAAGCCAGTTCATTTCTTTTGTTATTTTAAATATTGTGTTGAAACAAAAACTAAAAGCAAAAATCAAATTATTATTAATGGAATAAACCATGATGGATGCCATTTACTTTGGTCAGTTTCAAGTTATTTCACAAAAAATTGTGGGCTCCTCTTCTTCCATGTAAGGGTACCAACAATTTTGTCCACATCTGTTGATATGTATATTAAGCAGTGTAAGGATCTCTGGGCTTTCCCATTATACCCTGTAGAGCTGGGCACCCACCCATTTCTACAAAATGCTTCCTGGAGCTTACCATGTTTTAACTGAGTGAATGCCATGTGCTGCTCTGGGCCTTCTTTTTTTGTCAGTTGGACTGGCTGTTGTAAGGGATGGGGGGGTGAATTGGGGGAAATCATTTTTAATTCAGCTTCACTTTATATTGAATTCATAATTTACTGAAAAGTACAGACATAAATCTGGATATATAAAAGAACATAACTAGCTCCAATGATAAAAATGTAAGGTGGTAGAGAATTTCATTTTAGAAACGTTTAGAAAACACTATTCAGTTCAGGTACAATCACTAGTTGGTTTCTTTAAAAAGAAAAAAAATCTAGATATTGTCACCATGGCATGGAACTACATTGGTGGACAAAAACTACACCATCAGCATAAAGCTACACCAGTAACATGGAGGAACTGTGGCGCCTCCTCCTGCTGTAGCAGATGGTAAACATGTAATAAACCGACATATACACCATCTACTGGGGCAATCTGGCAGGTAGCGTTTCTTTTGAAAAATCAGTAACTCCGGTAATAAACAACTCGTTGACTCAGGATACACAGCCCCAATACCTTGCTGTTAAAATCCAGTACTGCCAATAGTCCTGGGACAACATCTACTTAGAGCAAAAGAGCACTGAATGAAGAAAATATCTGTGGAACTTCACAACAAAGTATAAAAAAAAGCTAAGCAAATTCACTAACCAAGTACACTTCGATAGTTAACACAAAACTAAATGATCAATTTTGGCTGGAGGTCTTACTTAGGTCCCCGCACACGATCTACTGAAAACTATTATACACCCTAGCAAAGGTAATCATGGTCCACATGTGCTATCCTCAAAATGTCTAATATATATGCAACTGTAATTTAATTCTCAAAAACAGGGCCTTGCGTTATAAACATCTAAAAACAATTTTCCATTTATATAGCTCTAAATAGTATCCATTTTGAAGCTAATATAATCACACACCTATTGTCACCATCTGGTCCACACACAACCTGCATTCTCTGCCTGAAGTGTATTCTGGAGCTGCATTATTTATGCATGCTTAGGCTGTATACAGCCAGCTTAGGTCCTACGTTCATGCTTCCCTTACAGCCTCTGAAACCTGTTGGAATTTCAGATACATGGATCTGTACAGTCAAGGCCAGGAATGCGAGGACTGTGGAGATTACACATCACATGACCAGCAGTAGAGAAGATCTGGTCTGGGTGATTGGTTCGGCACTCCAGGCATGCAATAAACATACAACTAAATTGTAAAATAGGTTATAATTTTACACAATTTACTTTTTTTTTTTTACATAGCTGCAGAAGCAAAGTAGAATGTGTTAGAATGTTATTTTTAATACAAGGCCTGCTTTGACTACCAAGATTGGTAGGGATCATTACATTTTGGAAAATCTCTGGAACTTTTAGCGGTTGTGAAAGAATCTCAGTGCCGCTCTAAGCAGAAAGAGAAGATTTTTTTCCAGCGAAGGAGTGCCAGCATCAAGATAAACTCATCCAGAAGTGTCAGGCATATAAGTGAAAGACACGAAACGCATTAGAGAATAGAGGAGACACGGATGAGGCACGGGCTGATCTGGAGAGGAGCATCTCTTTCACTTATGTGGTTGTGGTCAAACATAGATGTCTCAGAAAAAAAACCATTCCCTGTGTACAGGCCAGTGACCAGAGTTTGTAATAAAAGATGTAACAAATCAAAGGGGACAAGAATGGCTATTCTTGCCACTGGTCATTCATTTTGAGTGTTCTGCTTGTGTATATCCACCAATCTTAGCAATCCGATAACAGACGGATCACATGGACAGAAAACAAATTACAATATAACCATTCTTCTTGACATAGTCATCAGACACACACTCTAAAGGCACATGAGAAGTCAATATTAATGAAGTGCTACAGAAGCCACATTACACAAACAGCCTCAAACTGATTTGGTTGCACGGCTGACCTAAAGGATATCTAAACCCAAGAACAAAAATGTAAGATTGCCAGTCCCTGGATGTGGTAGCTACATTAGTTTTCATTTTTCAAGCTATGAACCTCTTCAGAAAGAAGAAAATACCTGCTGATCCTGCCAGAAATGTAGTGTTCTTATTACTTCCTGTGAACAAAGTTATCAACTTTACATGCTATCCTCAGTACATTACGGATTCCCCTACCCTCCATGAAATGGAACAGAAGAAGGAAGACGTCTTTGTAGTCCTGCCCCAGGGAGACAACTATGACTGCCTCCATAGATATAGAGGAAGGAGTGAGCGTAGCAAACCTAGGACACGGATTGTGTTATTTGCTGCTGAAAGTAATTGAAAAACAGATAAAAAAAACAAATGCTCCAAGGAGCAGGCCCTCCTCTCTCTTGTATTGATCTGTATTGTTGCTGTATTGTCTCTCGTTCTATTGTAAAACGCTGAGCAAACTGTTGGCGCTGTATAAATCCTGTATAATAATAATAAAATAATAAATGCAGTCACCTCATCTAAGGACTGGTAAGATGCAATAAAATACACTTTTGTTTCTGAGTTTAAATTGCGATTTAAACGGTTCCATATTTATCTATTAAAGAACAGCTCTTTTCTGGATACACACAGATATAGAACAAAATATACAAGAAATAGAAAGTAAAGCAAATCTCTATTAGTAAAAAGTACAGGACCTGTACTAGCTTTGAGGCATCTGCCTTTTAGAGACATTTAGTATTTATGTGTCACAAAAATTATTCACAATAACACACGGTAAAATAGAAAACTATACAGTTATTCACTTTTAATACTTCACCGGTTATTCATTACAAAAGACGTTTATATAATTCCTTATTGTCTCTTAGTGTTCGTTGCTTGAACTTGTTCAGGGTCAGCAACAGATTGATTTCTTCTTAGTCTGTCGGTCTCCCTTGATGATGGCTAATTATCTTGTTCATGAGTTAATTATTTGCAGATTTCATGTCTCTGTACATTGTGCTGCAGAAAATTAAATATAATTAGAAGTGGGTTGAACAGAGAAAGATCTGGTAACCGATGACACTCTGCTGATATCTGTGAATGAATGAACTACAAATACCATCTTCTACTGTGTGATTTGCATTTCTCTATAGAACACGAGTGCAATAATCATCACACTCGTAGTCCACAGGAGCCTGGCAGTGTACCCACGATCCACTGATGGTAATAAGCAGGCTCCTGTGGAAAAATATAATAAATGCTAATTTTTCCTGCAAATTTATGCAGATTTATTATTTATTTTTTTCAAAAAAGTGGACTTTGCCTTTAAAAGAGCAACTTGTATTCTGGCTATATATTAAAAAAAAAAAAAAAAAAAGAAGAGAAAAAAAAATCAAGTTGCTGGGGCTGTTGTCTGAGCCACCTAATAATTGCTTTTGCTGTGTAATTTGTTTTCTGTAGCAGCCATATTTGAACATCCACAGACTGCAGAATGATTATTTCCTGGTGTGTTCACCCTCGGTCCCTCTGCAGTCTTGTGTGACTATATCCAGAAAAACTCTGTAATATCCTATTTTCAACAAAACATCTGAATTGCGGGTGCTACTATTTGATTCATATATGGGCTGCATTCACTATGTAAACTAAACTTTGCAACTACTGCAGATATATCAAATAAATGCAGTACTGTAGTCATTAGCTCTTTTGGCCCAACGTCTCCTGTGCACTTCATTCTACTCTCCTGTGACCCATATTAAGCCAACAGTGGGCTAAACTCCACTGTTGGCAGATGTCACATAGCAGGTCCAGATTCCTGATGGACAGCTGGCTCAGACTCTCCACGCACCACAGAGAACCTAAGCCAGACACTCCTGCCCCCTCCACAGCCCGGCACGCCAGTAAGCGCTGGAGGGGCAACAGAGAGCTGGTGACTGTCAGTCACTGACTCTCTGCTCACTGAAGACAGAGAACTGAATGAGCTGAGGTCTTTGATTGTTTAGTGGTCTGTTTTAGAGCTGGCGGAGGACAGATGCAGCATTCAATCCCATACTTTTCTTTTAAAATATTCATTAGGTGGACCTTCACCCTCTTTAGGTACTTCCCCTTCGCCTCCACCTCACCCACCTCTACTACATAGAGATGACATTTATTCTCCGATAAACCTTTCTGGTCCCCTCTAGGCAAGAAAGGCATTCCTCCTTTCCAGAAGCCTTCTGGGATACTTATATCAACCATCCCAGGAGGCTTGGAGGCAACGTGCAGCACTCTGTGCATGCACTAGATCAGGGGTCTCCAAACTTTCTAAACAAAGGGCCGGTTTACTGTGCTTTCGACTTTAAGGGGGCTGGACCGTGGCCAATGGGAGTAGAAAACGTCCCTGCATCTATGAGGTTAAACAATGTCCCATTTTTGGTATTAGGGGAATTATTAGTGCCCCATCTTTGATGTCTGTGGGAGAAATAGTGCCTCATCATTTATGTCTGTGGGAGGAATAGTGCCTCCTCATTGATGTCTATGGGAGGAATAGTGCCCCATCATCGGTGTCAGTGGGAGGAATAGTGTCTCATAATTGATGTCTGTGGAAGGAATAGTGTATCCTCATTGATGTCTATGGGAAGAATAGTGCCCCATGTCATGGAAATTTTGTATTTACAGGTTGAACTTTAAATGTGTCATATATGAGTGTTATTCATATGTCTCTCGTGTGGCTTAATTAAAGCTCTGTAGGCTGCAATTGGGCCATGCACATGTACAATGTATGTATTACAGTACTCCGCTCGGTAACGGATGAGATGGCAGATCTGCGCTTATAGACCGGCGTGTATACCACCATGGCATTCGATGTGAATGCCGCCGGCGGTAGGCCGCGGGCCTGTATCCACATATCAGCAGCATAGTACCACATGGACTTCGTACCGCAAGGCGCCAAGCGGTGTGAACTCCGTGTGTAGGCTCATGTATATCTTACAAACCATTACCGACCTGAACTGTATCTGGATGGATGTGTTTTAATAAAGATCGTATCGGGCCCATTCAGATACAGACTGACACGGTTTATTCTAGGGGATGCTTGTACAGAGAATTTACATACCACTAGGAGCTAATAGGAGGGGGAAGGTTGCTTCCCTCAGAGAACTCATGGAGGGGAGGGGAGGACTGGTGATAGATAATAGGAAAGGCTACGCTCCAATCGGAATGTACATCCTGTGTATAGGCACTCCCCATTGCATTGTTCTGTGGGAGGGGATTGACCTGACTCATGTGGGGGGGCGTGTGTGTAATAAAACCAGAGGCTGAGAATGAAAACGTCCTCTATGTGAATTCCAACAGCAACCTGAGAGTGTCTTGTGATCATTCCCAGGTAACTGGAGCTCCATTTCCCCACAATTCTGAGATAGCTAAACCAGTTGGAGGCGCAGGAATCGTGGAGCTAAGCTTCAGTCGTGGTAAGCAAGATTCGCACAGCTTTATGGGGGATTGCTGCGCATCCAACTGTGAGTACTCATGGTAAGGAGAAATTCGTTAAAAGCGAATTTCCAAGACACCCATCATTGGTGTCAGTGAGAGGAATAGTGCCCCATTATCAGTGTCAGTGGGAGGAATAGTGCCTCATCATTGTCAGTGGAAAGAACAGTGCCCCATCATTGGTGTCTGCAGGAGGAATAGTGTTCCATTGTTGATGTCAGAGCAGGAACCATTGCCCTGTTTTTGGTATCAGTGGAAAGAATAGTGCCCCAAGGGCTGGATACAGGCAAGTAAAGGGGTGCATATGGCCCCCAGACCACAGTTTGGAGACTGCTGCACTAGACAAACTCGGGCACACTGCACATGCACAGCGACATATCAGGAGGTTGGGTGCAAAAACCCGGAAGAGGCACCCAGCACCCTGATGACATTAGGATAGTAGATGTAGGCACAGAAACTGGCATGCAGCAGCACAGTGTAAGGTTTCACCAAGCGACGTTGGATTTACTGGGCATGTTTTATAGGGACAACCAGCCATATAGGAAGGATGGGGTGGAGGGCTGAAACTGATCTATAAATTTATTTTTAAATACCAATAGTCTCAGCACCCAAATAGGACTTGGGTGGCTCAGGAGTGAGCATGCATGAGTCCCCTAGAGTAAGCAGCTTGCTATGGGGGCACTCAGCAGGAGAATGAGCAATGAAAACAGGCAGGGAACCTGAGAAGAGAATTGGGGCTGCTCTGTGCAAGACCATTACACAGAACAGGGAAGTATACCATTTTTGTTATTAAAACATTTTAAAAAATTGCCTTTAGAATCACTTTAACTCCAGTTGTGTTCTGTGTTGTTCTGACGTTTAAGATCAAGATCTCTTTTGTACATATGTATTTTTCCCTGTGCTATTATTTGTCATCTATAAATTAAAAACAAAACATTACTATGACCAATAGGTCATCCCCAACCTATAGAATTAGTCATATCTGTGGGTAACCTAATCCATCATATCATAGGAAATCACTTTGACATACCTCTCCAGCGTATTGTAAGCATTCTGCGAAACAGAAGAAGCTCTCAGGCTGCTAACACTGCGATGATAAGATCTCCTTCCACGGGCAGATGGTGTATCCTGGATCTCTCCTACACCCTGTACAACAGACAAGACACAATGGAAAGACTGATGGACACCAGACACACCTGGTGTCTATACAAGTTTATACAAGACTACAAAAGGATCTGATTATTCTGAAATGTACAAACAGACCCTTGGACAATTCTCCTCTTTCCCTTACCAAACCTGGTCAGATTGGGAAATCTGCCAATTATTGCCTATGAAACAGTAACAGAGCACCATTCAATCTCTAGTGTATTAGAAAATAGAGAACGGAACATAGACTGGGTTTTCAGTCAACAATGTCCTTTGAGACCGTGGTCTCCTGAAACCTGCTTCAACGTTCCTTTTACTTACCTTGACCTGTATATGTTTTATTAAGTCCCTTAGAGAAGGTAAATCCTTGCTTGGTACATATTTGTGTATCATTTTGTCAAAGTCGGGATGTGACATCAGATAGTGAAGCATCTTTCGGCCATAGAATCTGCAACCAAAGCATTAAGGACTTAATGAATACACAGGCACTCACAAACCACAACTTTATAAGATAATAACAGAATTACTCTTTGTGGGTGAGAGAGAAAAGAGTTATAGAGAGATAGATGAAAAGATTTACGTATAGAATCTGTACTGAAACGAAAACTGTTACTACAGTAGTTCCATTATATACGGATATCCACTGGTCCTATAAAGATACCACAATGCAACGGCACATAACACTATACACATTCTTTCTTCAGCTGCATTCTCATGAGAAAAATTGTAATAACAGGGGAGTGTCCAAGATGGCGACCGGAGCAGCAGCTTAGTTAGGAGCACCGTCGCCCTATAGCTCAATCCGCTGCCAACTGGGCGGCAGCAGGCTCTACAGAGGCATCGGAGACCCTGTGGCCCCTGTTTAACACCTGAGGAGGGGTGCTGGGTAATTTTGTCCCCCCTCCGGAGCGCCGAGATTTTGCGGCCTACAAAGCTGCGGCCTTTACTAAAATCGTGGCCAGATCAGGATGCCGCCACTCCGCTCCCCGGCCCCCTGCTGCCGGACTTGCTGCTGGGGTGGTTTGTATGTGGCTCTGTGGCCTCCCCATCGGCTTCAAGGGCCACCCCAGGCTGAGACACCTATAAATAGGGCCTGGAGGCTCACCATAATGGATGTGCGGCCCCGTCAGGCCTAGAGGCCTACCCCATCTGCTCCCTTTCCATAGGGGGCAAATCAGAGGCTCCTGTGTCCTCTCTTGCGGGATTTCAACATTACAGTTCACCTGGCCTGGCAGTCGTGGACCCTCACGCCTCACCTGTTGCTGGGATTCTTCTGGGGCTTGCGCCCGCTCTGCTGGGACTCTATACCCCTAAGGAAGGTACAGTTACAATTTCAGCCTATATTTACCCCTCCTCTGTGATAATTTTTTCTACAATTTAATGACTATGGTGGGAAGCAAGAACTGTTCCGCAGTGATAGATCTTATGTAAAAGCAACCCCGTAGGGGGGCATGCACGCATAGCCAGGGAAGATGGCCATTTGATCTCCCTGCGCCGCGCCACCAGAACATCTACCTCGGCATATTGGGCCTCTAAGCCCCTGCGTATCAATACAACCGGTTGAAGGTGCTTGTGAAATACCTGGGCTTCACCTAAAAATGCATCGTACCCCGCGCACAAAATCCCAACATCGGGCCCAGCAGCAATCTCCTCCACATAGCCATACTGGCAAGTGAATGCCCAGCCCTCCAGAGTCTGATGACATCGCGCAGCTTACAGGGGATCCGGAGTCGGATGACGTTAATCTGCAGCAATTCCCCTCGAGGCTGACCGGCCCCCTTGAACAAAACCCTGAAGCCTTGCTACACAAATTCCGTGCCATAGTGCGAGAGGAGATTACAGTTGCCTCTCATAAATGGTCTTCCGATCTGGTAAGAGGCCTAAGGAATTGGGACACCGTGCCCATCAACTAGAGCAACATATGGATCTGGCGACCACAGTCTTGGAGGGTCATGAACAGGAGGTGGACGATCTACATGCTGAGCTGGACACTTTAAAGGATAAATTGGAAGATGTTGAGAATAGAGCTCACAGGGATAACCTCCGCATCCGCGGGGTTCCTGAGGTAATTACTGATTTACAGGGCACTGCTACCGCTCTATTCCAGGAACTGGCTCCTGAGATCCCCTTGGAGCGACTGGAATTTGACTGTATCCACAGAGCTTTAGCTCCTAAACCCACGGAGGGCCCTCCCAGGGACATTATCATTCAATTCCACTTTTACCGCACCAAAGAGTGTCTACTACAGGCGGCTCGGAATCGTCCGGCCCTGGAATTTCAGGGTAACTCCATTCAGCGGTTTGTGTCTCCAGTCATGATTGCGAAACGTTGTACCCTGAGACCCTACCTTCAGATTCTACAATCAGCTGACATCAAATATAGATGGGGTTTCCCTTTCAAGTTCTCTTTCTCCTTTCAAGGTCGTCAGTTCCAAGCTTCTTCACCTGCGGATCTTCGCCGTCACTTTCAGGAACTGAAACTGGAATTGCCACACTCCCAGACTGAGGAGGCTACAGTTTCTACACGCCCGTGGGGTTCCCAGTCTTCACGTAAATCATCTCCTCCAAGCCAGAGTAGCTCTCAAGCTCTTCGATCTTTACAGGCCCATCGTTTCCAGGACGTTTCTGCGAGTTGACATTTTGGGTCCGGTTGGGTATTCACATTTGTTTTTTACTTTTTGAGATGCGGGCAACACTGCCCACAGGTGTTCCTATGCAGATACGTAATGTAGCACTTTCTCTGCTGAGGCCTACGCCTCAATAGCCGTGTTAGTTCGGTTTAGATTTTTCTATTTATGTTATGGTTGATGGGCGGAACTGGCGGTAGATCTCAGGCCGTAGGTGTGACTCTGTTTACTGGGCTGGCCCGTGGGCGGACTCACCCCTCTGGTTATCTTGGAGCTTCTCCATCTTTGAGGTTCTGGCCGATCGCGATTCCTATGGCCTTACTAGCCACTCATAGATCACTTGTTAGTGGGTTTATTAGCCTAAGTTGTTTGCTTAGTATTTTCCTGTTTTAACTAAGCCGAGTAGTTCCGGTGGATTATTGTGTCCCCCTCCAAGCTGGTTAGTGGACCGGATTGGTGTCCTGCCCACTACTCAGCCTCTTTGTGGGTATATCATCCACAGTTGATTGTTACGATGTTTGTACTAATCTTACTGTTTCCTATGAATATTGCTTGTATACCAGATGGTTTCTCATTTTCTTCCTTTTTTCACTTTTTCTTTTCTTGGTTTCTTGTCATGTGTGTTTTGTGTTTTTATAAAAAAAATTTCAGGGCACTTGGGGGATCGTAGTGGAGATGATCTTTTTCCTTTTCGATCGCCATGTCGCTGAACTGGTTATCTTTGAATGTTCAAGGAATGAACTCCCCGCAAAAACGGGTAAAGATATTTAACTTTCTCCGGGCTCGCCATGTTGATATTGCTTGTCTGCAGGAAACTCATTTCTCAACTACCTCCACCCCAAAATATTTCGATGCATGCTACCCTCAGGTTTTTCAGGCTACTGGCCCTTCTAAAGGGGACTTCTTGTTGCTTTTCACAGCAAAACCTTGTTTGTTTGTGTGAAGCGTATTGCTGACCCAAGCGGCAGGTATCTTATTACAGGGCATGATTCAGGGTATAGATGTGACAATACTGACCTATTACGCTCCCAATGTCAACCCTGGACCCTTTCTATCACATATCTGCTCCCTCCTGGCAGTCCATCAACAGGATACTCTTCTGATGGCGGGAGATTCCAATTTAGTATTAAATCCTTCCCTAGATAAATACCTTGTGGAGAACTCTAATTCTTCTGCTTCAGCGAAGTCCTTTACCCATACGTTATGTACCCATGACATGGTAGATCTATGGCGTGAGTTCCATCCCTGGGGGAAAGACTATACTTACTATTCTCACCCTCATCATTCTCACTCTAGAATTGACCATGCTTTTGTTTTACGTAAATATCTCCCTTTGGTGCGTTCCGTCTCTATCCTCACGGTTCCGTGGTCTGATCATGACCCCATTTTGGTGGTTTGTCAATCTCTCCTCTGTAAGTCATTCTACTCCTCTTGGATTATGAATGACTCCCTGCTTTCGCTGAAGGAGACTCAGGCGGAAACTACTGCTCAAATCCCAAGAATATTTTCAGCTAAACTCGGGTTCTGTCTCTTCTTCGGTGATGTTGTGGGAAGCTTACAAGGCTGTTCTTAGGGGCCATATTATTCAGATAGCTTCGAGGCAGAAGAGGGATAGACAACATAAACCGCGTCAGCTTGAATCAAAGCTAGCTTCCGTGTTGGCTCAATTTAAGCAGGTACCGACGAACCGTAGGTTACTAGATCAGGCCCGCCTGGAACTGGATCTCCGTTTGACTGATGAGACTGAGCGCTCTTTGCGCTGGATGCGCCAGAAGTGATATAGTAAATCAAATAAACCAGATTCTATGTTAGCACGTAGATTGCGCTCTTTTACGCACCACCCTAAACTGATTTCTCTACGCACTCGTCAGAATGTTCTTACAAGTAATCCTGTAGCAGTGTTGGAGGAATTCCGGCATCGACTTGCCAGACTTTATACGGATCCCACATGGGCCGATCCCCAGTCTATCTCTGACTTCTTGTCCCATTTGTCTTTGCCTATTTTGATTCAGGCTCATAAGGACCTGATGGATCATGATATTCAAATATCGGAAGTTTTGCATTGCATTGTGGATCTGAAGACGGGCAAACGCCCAGGTCCAGATGGATACACGGCTTTATATTACAAGAAATTAGCTGATGTGCTTGCTCCTCACCTTGCCGCTATGTACAATGCAGTGAAGGGAGGTTCGACATTTTCCTCAGACTCTGACTGCTAATGTGGTTATGATCCCAAAACCGGATCAAGATCATTCCTCTTGGGCAAATTACAGGCCAATTTCTCTTAACATCGACATGAAAATCCTCACCAAGATCTTAGCCACTCGTTTGAATTCTTTCCTTTCTCGTCTGATCAAGAAGGACCATGTGGGTTTCGTCCCCCACAGACAAGCAAGAGATGCCATCAGACGCATTTTACAGTTACATCATCTGGCTCATACTTGCAAAATTGATATGATGCTCCTATCTGTAGATATCAACAAGGCCTTTGACACTTTGTCCTGGCCTTATCTCAGTCGGTCCTTCACCATTTTGGCTTTGTTCCCTCATTCTTGCATTGGATTTCTTCACTATATACGTTCCCCCAAGCAAAACTCAAATATTACGATTTTGAGTCCTCAACATTCCTGATTGGCAGGGGAACTAGACAAGGTTGCCCACTTTCTCCCATACTATTTATTTTGGATTTAGAACCTTTGGCAGAAGCCATTCGTATGCATGCAGATATTAAGGGAATGGATGTAGCTGGTTCTCAACATAAGTTCTCTGTTCGCTGATGATCTATTATTGTCCGTTATGAATCCGGGGGTTACTTTGCCAAACCTACTTCCTGTTTTGGATTCCTTTGCAGTTCTCTCAGGCCTCCATGTCAACCCTGCCAAATCGAAGGCTATGTCGATTACCCTTTCACCATCAATGTTGGAAACTCTGAAACATTTGTTACCTTTTCAATGGCTTTTGGCCCTGCCATATTTAGGAATCAAGCTCACTCCGACTTACGACGGACTCTATTGGGCTAATCTCCCCGCTGTCTTTAATGATTTGACAGAGATGTTGTCCTCCTGGTCTCACTATCTGCTTTCATGGTTCGATAGAATCAATGCGATCCGCATGACTTATCTTCCCAAATTATTGTACTTGTATCGAGTTCTACCAGTTCCTGTTCCCTCACATATATTGTGTATTCATCAGCGAAAACTCCTGTCTTTATTTTGGGGTTCCTCTCGACCCAAATTAGCAAACAAATCTTATTTGCCCGTAAGACCGAGGGTGGGTTATCTGTCCCAAATCTTCAGGCTTACTATCTGGTGGCCAATATTGCCCCTTAGCCCATCTCCATGCATCTCACAATATTCCCTTGTGGGCTACTGTAGACTTGATGGATTCCCACCTGATACCACTCTCTTTGCCGTGGCTTCCTCCTATTCATCGCCCTTCATTTCTTAGTCCGACGCTGACGCTTCGTCTTTGGGTTTCTATTAAATATTCCGCTGGTCTCATTTCTGCCCACCTGCCGTTACTACGTTTGCTACATAATCCATTATTTCCCCCAGATCGTGACAATCCCGGACAGTTTGCTTGGTGGCTAGCCCATGGCTTCACGATGTACATTCCTTGCTCTCTCCCACTTGGATACTCACCTTTGAAACTCTGCACTCTTCTGATATCTCATTGCGGGAGCATTTTGGCTGTCTTCAACTCCGCCACTTTATCAATACATTAATACAGGCGCATTCGGGACCCTACAGGTTGACCCCATTTGAAAGTCAATGCAGACATAGACCCCATGCTCCGGGCTTAATCTCTCTGGTCTACTCCTCCATTATTTCTTCTAGAATGCCTCCGGTCCGCTCTTATCAGCGTTGGCAGTTGGAATTTGGGGCCACTCTGGATCAGCAGGATTGGCGGACCATGACCTAAGCATTATCTAAATGTTCTAGGAATGTTATTCTAGAAAATGCCTATAAGTTTCTTCATAGATGGTATTACACGCCTGCTCGTCTAGCTCATTTTATCCCCACATACTCCCCGACTTGCTTTCGGGGTTGTCAACAAATAGACACCATGGTCCACATTTGGTGGACTTGCCCCAAGGTTTGCTGATTGTGGATCAGGGTTTATGCCCTTCTCCGCACTATGCTTCACACAGACATTAAGCGCAACCCGTATGAAGCGCTCTTATTTAAACCATTAGTGGGTCTACTTCGTCTTGGATGGCAGCTGACATCGCATCTATTCATGGCTACCAAGCTGATGATCGCGAGGGCTTGGAAGTCCCTCCTCAGCTTCAAGGCTGTCAAAAATCGGATGAACTTTATAATGGTTAATGAAAAGCTGACGGATATACTGTTGGACACCCATACAAAGTTCCTGCAGACCTGTCGTCCCTGGCTTAATATAGCCCAACCATCGAGATTCGACCAGTCCCTCTTGTCGATATTAGATTTTTTCTTTTTCTTTTTTTCCATCGTGGTCCCCCTGGAGCCCTTTTCTTTGGGTTTTTTTTTTGTTTAGTTTTTGTCTCCTTTCTCTTCATTCCTCTCTTTCCTCCTGTTTAGTCTGTTTTTATGATATTTGTGCCGATTGTGATTTCTGCCTGGAGTACCATACCAGTAATACTATATCCATATGCCAGACTCCATCGGGAGCCCTAATTATAGAGTACCAATATACATTCAGTGAGGCTCCACCTTCCCCGCCTTCTAAATGCAGATATAGTGACAACATTTTCTTTTTGTTTATTATGTCATTGGTCTCTAAATGTCTACCATTACTACTTATTGTTTTGTTTTCCTTTTTTTTATACACGGCACTTGTGTACGAAGTTTATTTTCTTGTCTTTCCATCAGTACATACTCTATTATTTATCAGAAAACTTGTAGGTTTTATTCCTGTCGGTCAGTGCATCTGTTTTTGACTGATTCTCTGATGTTATCTATTTTGCAATAAAATTCTTTGTAAAAGAAAAATTGTAGTTACATTATTTCTAGGTGCAAAGCCAGCTTTGACCTTGCTAGGCATAGAACTGTATTTTTCAGCTAACTGATATGCGATCTATCTTTATCTCTTAGCTGGACAAGAGTCTGTCTTTTATAGAAAAAACAGAGTATGCTTCAAACCACTAGAGTGTTTGCATGGCTTCTCCCTGTGTACACAGCTTTTTGGGCATATGTTTGGATATATTGTAAGTTAGAATTCAACAGACCACTTCTGGACTTTGAGGGACAACAGAGACAGCTTTGGACAGCAGAATTGTTAATCTGGAGAGAGGGTAGTACAGAGGCGTAGCTAGGATATTTTGCGCCCGGGACGAACTATAAAATTGGCGCCCTAGCCCCCCTCCCTGTTTAATCACATCAGTGACACCAACGATGGGGCACTGATCCTCCCACTGACACCAATGACACTTACCTTGCTGACCCCTGCTCCAGCCTAGGCTCCTTTCGTCTCCCATCCACAGCCAGCATACCTGGTTGCAACAGCAGCACCATCTGCACGGCACACTTACCGGTCAGCTGTCTTCTTCACTTGCTCCGGCCACTCCCTCACTCGATCTTCGTGCTGCCGGTCAGCTCCTCCTCTCCAAGCTCTGCCTCCTCGCAGGTGATTGGCCGCCTGTGTGCCTTTCCTGAGCTACAGTTCTGGCGTCCAATCACCAGTGAGGAGGCGTAGCTTGCAGAAGGAGGTACAAGCTGCCATAGGCGATCCCAAGGGTGTGGCCAGATGACAGGGGCGGCATGTCATCCTGCCCACACATCGCATCCAAGGAAAAGAAGACACCGGACCTGCGGACCTCTCTACCCCTCCTCCAGCAGCGCCTCCTGGACTGGATCGTTGTGGGACTGGGACATGGAGCCAGGTAAGACACAGCAGCCCACTGCCCGCCCCTGTACTAAGTGTCCCTTCCATCGCGGTAAATACGCCCCTGGTTGTAAGCCTCATTTTGGCACCCCTGTACATATGTACCCCCCTGCCCCCCCAGCTACGCCTCTGGGGTAGTATTAGATGCACTGACAGATTTAGATGGACTGGACTAACAAATTTAAGCCAAACCAAAGCCTACACTTTTTAAGCAGTTACGGCAACATGTTTTTTCTACTTTTGGGATAAATGTCTCACAAATAAAAGCGGACTATTGTGAGCACCCCTGTCAGCGTTATATGGTTTGCCACAACCACTATGTTTGCTGGACAGCTTTGTCTGTTAAAGTTTAAAAATAAGACATTCTCTTCTAAGAAAAACTAAAATAATGCATCCACCACATCTAAAAAATTGGCAAGCTGTGGAATATTACATTGCTTTTTTTAAAAGATCTAGTTATTGAATTTTCACAATAAGATACAAAAAAAGGAGAACTTTGCAGGGTTTGTTTTGGGGTTTAATACCATTTCAAAGTATGTTTAATGCATATTTGTTTAATTTTTCCCTTCCATAAACTATTTTGTGGACTTGCATTGTCCTCCTGAACTTGCTAGGGGAGAGAAACCCCAGAAAGTTCCTAACACTGTCCCCTCTCTTCTTGTGCATCATAGCCCGCAACTCTTCTAGGAGTGTCTAAATTACTGGCTGTGCTGGCCCAACATAACCTCCCAACATAACCTCATAACCTAACCTCCCAACATAACTTTTTATGTAGGTGTTGCGGGAGTGTGCTGGGGCTGCTGACACTACATCCAAAATTATGGCATCCTGCAGTCCAGCAGTTTTACAGACAAAGAACAATCATACAATATGTTACACATGGAAAGAATTTTGTTGAAATGATCTAGTAACAGAGTCTCCTTAACCACTAGCCTACCAGGCACATCTAACCCCTCTTCCTGCTCAGTCCAATTTTCAGCTTTTAGTGCTGTCGCACTTAGAATGATAATTGCGCAGTCGTGCAGCACTGTACCCAAACAAAATTTTAATCTTTTTTTGAGACATATAGAGCTTTCTTTTAGTGGTATTTAATCACCACTGGGGTTTTTCATTTTTTGCAAAACAAACTAAAAAAAAAGACAGAAAATTTTGAAAAAAAATTATGTTTTTTCTTAGTTTCGGTTATAAAATTTTGTAAATAAGTAATTTTCCTCCTTCACAATGTGCGCTAATGAGGCTGCAGTGATGGACACTGATAGGCGGCACTGATAGGCATCACTGGTGGGCACAGAATGGCAGCACTCTTATATGGCACTGATAGATGGCACTGATAAGCAGCTCTGGTATGTGGTATTAATGGGCATTGACAGGTGGTACTGATGGGGCTACACTGATCATCAAGGCACTAATCATCAGTGCCCTGATAATCATTGTAGATGTTCCCTCTGAGGAATGCTGCTTATTGGCTCTCCTCACACGCTGTCAGCGTGAGGAGAGGACTGTCCATAACCGGCATTTCAGGTTTACATGTGACACAGCTGATCACATGACAGAGCCTATGTCATCGGCTCTTTATTGTGATCGGCTGTGTCCCAGGGACACAGTGCACCACCGAATGTCGCAGGCCCCATCATTTCCTTATATGGCAGGCGGGAGGTGGTTAATTAAAAAGGTAAAGTACATTAACACTGCGGAATCATGCACATGGACACATTTGGGTGTACAACGCAAGAATTCAGTAAATGCCTGCACTTGGGAGTCACAAGGGGATGACATACAGAAGTCCATACAAATGACAGGCTGTACATCAATCCCATGCAGCTGAACATTTGTAATCGCATATCCCAGTGGTTACATGGGTACAGGACCAAGCATGGTGCAGAATGTTCACTTGGCACATCCACATGGCGCTATTTACCTGGTTTCCTGAGAACTATCCTGAGCAAACTTGGTTATAGCGGGCAACGCTCTATCGGTGATGTCCTTTATACCAGAGAGGACCCGTCCAGGCCCCATTCTTTCCACCAAATCAGACATGTGCTGAGCTGTGCACTTCCTCACTGTAGTGTTCAAATGGCTGCGGAGACACAACCCAAAAGGTGGTATAGAAGGAGAAGCACAACAAAATAACAATGTAAGACCATCTTAAATAAAAATGTGGAGCTTAATGAGAACAGGGAATAAAATAAATGTCTGATTTTATAATTTATTTTTGTAAACACAGAGCTCTGTGTGTGATTGGACACAGCTGATTTCAGCCGAAATCATTGGCTCAAATCAGCTGCCATACTCGTTCAGTGTCCAATCACTGCACAGGTTGGGAAGCGGCGCACCCTAGCATGCCCCAAACCCAGAAGAGGGCCAATCACGTACATGTAAATCATCGTGCGTGTACTTACCAATGCTAACTGTATATTTATTATGAGCGGTTGGCAAGTAGTTAAATCCATGCCATAAAAATGTGTTGAAGTTTATAATTCAGAAAAGCAGCAGTATGGTCGCAGTAAAGTCATACTGTTGCTTCAAAACTCGGGCCTCTAAGAGGGACTTCAGATTGCAGAAAAGTCAAAAGTCACAAAGTGTCATTTTACCTGAGCCCTCCATTTATGAGTGCGGCTAGAGCACGCAGCGGCGTTACATTCTGTACCATCGTGCCAAGTGCCTTATCCACATCTTCTCGGATGAAGATGTTTGGCTCTCCAGCTTTGTGGAGAAGTACTCGGACACAGTTGTCCAGTTCATAGTCCATGTTCTTTTTTAGGTGTGTAAACATGTCTCCTAAACACCCGATGGCTGCCCGGGAGACGCTGGAACGCAAGTCTTCTTCACCTAAAAACATAAAAAATATACAATTTAGAAAACTCACTAGAAACATGATCATAGATGGTCCTGTAATTAATCAGTATTATTGTTATACAGGATTTATGTAGTGCCAACAGTTTGCTCATTGCTTTACAATATAAAAGGAGACAATACAGTTCAAAACAGAGGGTTAGGAGGGTCCTGCTCCTTGGAGTTTACAATCCAAGAGGGAGGGGCTGGTGGTACAAAAGGTAATAACTGTGGGGGATGAACTGATAGGAGGAATAGAAGACTTGGTTATTAGCTGAAGGCAGGGTAGGCTTCCCTGAAGAAACAGGTTTTCAGAGATCGCCTAAAAGTGGGAAGAGTAGGCAATAGCCGGATATATTGGGGTAGAGAGTTCCAGAGGATGGGGGAAACTCTGAATAAGTCCTGGAGATGTGCATGGGAGGAGGAGACAAGGGAGTTAGAGAGCAGGAGGTCGTGGGAGGAGCGGAGAGGACAGTTTGGGTGATATTTGGAGACGAGATTGGTGATATAATTTGGGGCAGAGCTATAAATGGCTTTATATGTTATTGTTAATGTTTTGAATTTTATTCATTGGGCAATGGGAATCCAGTGGAGGGATTGCTGTGCAGTATGTACTGAAAAGGTGTCAGAGTGTACAGTTTACTGAAAACACCTTCAAAGCACTGCTTCAGTCCCTGAATGTCTCTTAAAATACTTGTTTCTAAAAGCGAGGCGCCTACTCACCTCACACTCTGGAAGCCGGGTTATAGAAGGATTATACAGTGGAGGATAGAAAGGGTCTGTAGTACAATGGCAAATATGCTCTTGCAGCTTATGATACACACTAAGGGGTCTATTTATTAAACATTTGTTGAATAAATGTCGCATATGTGCAGGCTGGACACAATTTTCCTGTACTTTCTGTAATATTTATTTCAGATAGATTATATATATATATATATATATATATATATATATATATATATATATATATAGAGATAGATAGATAGATAGATAGATAGATAGATATATATAGAGAGAGAGAGAGAGAGACACACACACACATACACACACACATACATATGCATTTAGCCACTGTGCTGCCCAGGTAATAGATTAACTCCTATGCTTGTCAGCTCCATTTGGTTGCCAAAATACAGTATAATGAAGTGTTTCAGAGAATTATACCACATTTTCACCACTAGATGGCACTGGAAATCATAGGAATGAATTGGTTACAGAAAATGTGGGGAAAATTCATGACACCTGCACAAGTGTGTGTGACATTCTTCCAACAAATGTTTTATAAATAGACCCCTTAGGCTACGATCACACTGGCTTTGTCAGCAGGCGTCAGACAGGTGTTTGGGAAGCGTTTTTAATGCTTCTCATACACCTATGAAAATTCTGCACATGGCAGCACACAGCGAGGTAGTTGCGGAGCATTAATACCATTAAACTTCATTATAGGCATTTGTGGTGCAGTTTTAACGTTTGGCAAACGCCTATCAAACGCCTCAAAAACGCACATAGGGTGTTTGGAGAGCATTTGAGGAACGTTAAAAACACTTCCCAAACGCCTAACGCCTGTCAAACGCTATAGGGGCGTTTGGCAAGAGTTAGAAATAAGTTAAGTGTGAACGAGCTCTAAGAGAGATCACTTTTAGTTTTGGGTCTCTTTGCTGAAGCACCTGTTTGTGTTAAACATCTTCAACAAGAGAATAAAAAAAAAATAATCAGTTTATGTCCAATAACTTTACCCGCCTGCTTTCCAAGCCTAGTCTTGACACTTCTCTCCTACATGTAAAAATCATCTTTTTTTTTGCTAGAAAATTTACTTACCCCAAAACATTAAATATGTTTCTATAAGCAGAGGACCTAGAGAACAAAATGGTGAGTGTTGCAATCTGCGCAGTGGTATTTTAAAACGCAAATAATATGGAAAAAATACACTTTAATGAATTTTAGTGCACACAAAACACAATAAAAACCCAATGTCTGGTAAATATAAAGCATGATGTTACACTAAATAGATTCCCAATATGTTACGCTTTAAAATTGTGTACGCCTGTGGGACGACGCTAAACTACGGTACCTAAAAATCTCTATGCTTTAAATGCCTTTCTAGGTTACCAGTTTACAGTTACACAGGAGATCTGGGGCTAGAATTATTGATCTCGCTCTGACATTCACCGTGATACCTCACGTTTGTGGTGTGATTGTGTTTTTTGTATGCGTGCAGGACCAACGCGTGTGTTTGCCTTTGTGTGCAAGCACAGGAGCATGGGGGGCGCCTTGAAAAAAAAAAATTATTTATTTTTTTTAATTTGATTTTTTTTTTTTTTTACACTGTCTCTTTAAATTGTTTTTTAATCACTTTTATTGCTTTTACAAGGAATGTAAACAACACTTGTGACAACAATCAGCAGTGACTCCTCTTTACTGAGACATCTGGGGTCTGTTAGACCCCAGATGTCTCCTCTGCTTTTACCAGATCAGATCAGCCCAAGATCGGTCTGACCCGATGCCTATAGCCAGTGGTGTATTTAGGTTTTATACTGCCCTAGGCAACACTGAAAGCTGGCGCACCCCAATCTCTAAATGTCTGTATAATGTATAGCTGGCTCCATCCCTCTCCTCTCTGTACCCCCAGAGCTGACACTCTATATGTCTGTATACAGTATAATGTAGTGATGCTGGCTGCATCCCTCTCATCCTCCCAGTTATATAACCTGCCAGTGGTGCTCATGCTGCTCCGCTCCTCCCCGTCGGGCAGTGCTGTCAGTCGGCAGTGCAGAGCAGTCAGTGTTGGGCTGGCCGGGTCCCGGGATGCAGAAACACCTGGAGAACCCAGTTCGGGCTGTGCGTTACCTGCGGAAACTGACCAGAATCGTGCAAAACCAGCAGAGCCTCACCCACACCCAGTGACAGCGAATCAATCCTCAGTCTCCTGCTGGTTGCCACGCGTGTCCCTTCTTCGGGGGGGAAGGGCGAAGCCGCCCCCCTGAAAAATGCCACACAAGGCAAATGCCTGGTTTGCCTCGTAGTAAATACGCCCCCGCCTGTAGCTGCAGGGATCATTCTGGTAGATAGAACCACTTCTACCAGAGAAAGTGTGGGCACGTCCTTTTGGAAGAAAGTGGTTAAAAAGCATTGCATCAATGCAAAAAAAATAGTTTACAGACTCTACAAATCACAGCCACAGGTATTTATACAGATTCCTATTTACACATTACTAAAAAGGGTATGTTTAGTCAAGACGTTTTTCTTATTAGTTTTGGAAAAAGTAGGAAGCGTTAAATCCCCTATCAGGTTATATTGCGTCGTCCTACTGGGGAGAATTTGCTTTACTTCCCGTCTTATAGTGAATGCAGGGTCCTGGGTTTAGTAACACTTTATCCGGTCTCCCCGGACCCTGCATTCACTATATATCCGGTCTCCCCGGACCCTGCATTCACTATATATCCGGTCTCCCCGGACCCTGCATTCACTATATATCCGGTCTCCCCGGACCCTGCATTCACTATATATCCGGTCTCCCCGGACCCTGCATTCACTATATATCCGGTCTCCCCGGACCCTGCATTCACTATATATCCGGTCTCCCCGGACCCTGCATTCACTATATATCCGGTCTCCCCGGACCCTGCATTCACTATATATCCGGTCTCCCCGGACCCTGCAATCACTATATATCCAGTCTCCCCGGACCCTGCATTCACTATATATCCGGTCTCCCCGGACCCTGCATTCACTGTATCTGGTTTCCCACAGTACACAGAACATGGAAATGCAATTATTTTAGTAAAGATAAACTGCTAAATACCATTTCTCATCAGCAGTTAGAGCAGTCTTGTGACTTCTATCAGTGTCCAGCCGAGCACTAGTTAAAGATTGTAGGAGGAGTTTTCATTCTGCTTTAGGAGGATGAAGAACCCCTGACCTCTGTCTGGACAGTGCTGATTGGCCCTGTGCTGATCACATGCACTCTTCCAAGACAAGAAAAACCTCTCTAGCAATACACACCAAACTAAGCATGTGCAGAGTGACACCACACGATATGTCTTATCAGGAGATAAGAGGTGGGCATTGGAAGAAGGGGACGATCAGAGAAGACAGGATCAAACAGCATTTTTACACAACGCAGAGGATTAACCCCTTAGGTTCCACAGCGAGTATAACAAGCATGCTTTACTGCATATACAGACTGATTTTACTGTTGTGGGTTTAGTAACACTGAAGTGAG